TTCCTGGTAGGGCTGACAGAGTAATTTCCTTTTGCATCAGTGTTAAACCTTCTCCTATCTCACTTCTTTCACATTCATACTCTGAGGGAATGACTGGAGCCTGCACTGCTGCTTCTCTCAGAGTCCTTTTCCCTTGATCAAGCAGGCTGGAATTTTTGAGGCTGCTGACACCTGTGTTGTGAAACCAGGCTAGAAAAGATGTGAAGACATCTCTAAAATAGCTGAGGATATCAAAGACAGCAATGATTTCTGGGCAAAAACATTCACAACTGGGGTTTCTCATAGTATCAAGAAGACTGGTAGAGGTTGGTTTGAACCACTGTAGGTAGGGGAGATGCTGCTCTGGGCTTGTACTACTGGAACAAGGCTAGAAAATAGTATATACTGTATATGTTAATAATTTCTTAACCCTAAACTCAGATTTTCCTAGCAGGACCCAAGAATGAGCATGTTTTAGTGATAAAACTCTTTAAAGGGGGCCAGACCCTTATTTTGATGAAACTGTATTTACTAAGGTGAGCAAGCAATAGTATGTTGTTCTCAGTGGGAAGTGCTGAGGTAAGAAACTAAGTGTGCTGACTGATTCTTCATCTGTCAGATGCAAAACAAGTCCAGCAATTACTGTGGCAAATTCAGGACTAAAGCTAGAGACATGCTGCTTTTCCCAGCTGAAAAAAGCAGAACTGAGATGATGCTCTAATAGCCCCACTGGGCTACCTGTCCCCCTGACTTAGAGAAGACTAAGCAAATTAAGTTCAAATTCACTTCACCATATGGCACTTCACTAGAAGAAAAATAGAAAAAGACAGTGGGGTATTATGATGTTTTATCTGTTCTACTTGCATACTGAGTACAATGAAGCTTGTGCAGAAATACAGACTCCTTTTCCTTTAGTGAGGGATCACTGAAAGTCTATTTTCTGATTGAATAAAGCAAGAGGAGTTTTTTGAAGGACAAGTAACTAAATGAAGATCAACGTACTTACATCCTGTATGTAATTAATGACAAAGTAAAGTACCTTTAATGATCTTTAAGTTTAAGGAAATTTTTAGGAGTTCAGTATATTTTTTGTGATTAAAAAACATATATGATCATAATTAATTACTAATACCAGTTCTCTGCAGCATGTAATGCAGTATCAACTGTAACACCACCTCCAGAGCAAACAACTTGTCTCAAATCAAATTTCTGAAAATACTGATAGACAATTCATTAGAGTTCATAATTATTTAAATTTGGAACTATTTTTACTTTATTTACAATAGAAATAACTACATAAATATGACATAAAAAAATGCCCTTGTAGACACATCTTTATGTGATTATTGGTGTGGGTTTTGAATCAGTCACACAAGCCTGCAATTTGGAAATCTGAGTCAAGAAAAAGAAGACACAAATGCTGGGTTTGTAGCTGGAAGTCATTACTGGATAAAGGCATCGCCTCACTCAAGACTGAATATGTATTTTTCCATTTTGCACTGATGTTTTACATCACCCAACAGCAGTCCTATTTTTCCTACAAAAGAACTCTGGATGGCAGGGAGGTTGTGATTCTACAAAATGAGTATTTACTCCCTCTAAAGGCTCAAAACCATGAGTGAGAACAAAAAGTTCTGTCAGAGGAATTCTGATTTGAAAAAATAAAAATCAGCAAACTTTTTGTAGGCTCACAGAGAGTGTTCCACCACTGGAAACCCTCGGGGAAGGGAAGACATGACTTTACAGTCAGAAGACCTCTAACAACTACAGCCAAAGAAGTGTTCCACATAGCTCCATTTAAAATGTCTGTAAATTATGAAATTCAGCTCAAGCCCTGAACACTAAACTCAGTGTGTGTACTCTGAAAAGGGGAATCTGTAAACAGCAACAGGACTAAGAATTAGGCAATATTATTACAATGGCTATGTTTGAAAAACATTAATCAGAAAAGACTGAGTTAAGACTAGAGTACTGAATCCAAAGTCAGAGAACAAAACAAAGCACAACCAAACCCAAAACTGCAGGTACACACCTAGGAAATCTACTGCAAGACCGAGTCCTAATAAAATTTTGTATCACTGACTGCTACCTAAAACTAATGGCAAATTTGTTTGGAAGCAAACATTAAGCTGTTTATTAAAGCCTGTATTTCTCCGTATTTTATGCTGTTCAGGTCTGCCTGTTGTAGATATTTATCTGACTAAGGAGGGCAGCAGAAGGCATGCCAGGATGTGAAAAAGCCCCTGCTTTCAATAAACAAAGCTTCATACTTTACTTAAGGTTATTTTCAGCTAACAGGAACAACACTGTTGAGAGCTGTATTAATTCCCACACAGTGGAGTGGAAGCAAAACAGAATCAATGGCACCATGTCTGTCACAGAACTATGCAACAAATATCCTGCAGGATGAATTAAGTCTTCAGTTTTAACAGTCGTGCGCATCTACATAAAGCAGTATTGCATCAGTATCACCACATTTAGTGAGTCTGCTCAGACTTATTTGATTTTAATTTAGCAAGAAACTCTAACAATGGAAAAGGAACAGATTAGTCTTCATTTGGTATTAGCCATGTTGGTCATTTAAGACCACTAAGTGTAAAATGCAAATTCCTGTTCTAAAACACTCATTAAATGCTTAATGTTCCTTAATGTCTGCCAAGTAAGGATATGTTTTTTTATCAGCTTCCAAGAGAGAGGAAAAAACCCCACTTATCATGGTGCAGTGCTACTGTTCATGATCATGATCGTGATTATCGTTATCATCATCAAGGAATCCTTATTAACAGCAAAACCCCCTTATTTAAAAAATAACACACCTGAATAAAACTGAACTCTCTCCAGTTTAAGGCACTATTTACTGAAGGGATGGAAGTCACTGCCAGCAAAGAAAGCAATCCGAGACTCATTATTCCAAAGGAGATGTACATTTCAATTCGCCACACTTCTTCCTCATTCCAAGAATTTTCCACATTTGCGTGGACCTGATGACAGAGCAGAAAGGAAGCACTTTATTCTACAGAATATTAAAAATATCAACAGAAGTGATTTTGCTGAGTAAAAGCCTACAGTCACAAGACAACTATAAAATGGGGTCAAATATTTCAGATGTTTCCTCATGTCTTGGCAAAAAACAACTATTTCCTTGCTGCTGGTATTGGTTCCTGTTAGATTAAAAATATGTTAAACATGGCAACTTACATGAGTTGTTACAAGAAAATGTAACATTACATACTACTTATAACAACTGTTATAAAACCAAACCACTCTGTTCACTCCTAAGTACTGTAGAAAATAGCTGTGTTCTCCAGACCCTGTAAACTTACATTCTGTCACATAAATTGGGTAAACCTGCAATTTGGTTTTAGTTTCTTACATTCAGAAATAGTTTAGCATCATTTCCTGGTTTTGCATCAGCCCCCTATGCTGAGTGCAAATTATTTTGCCTCTTTTACTGTTGGCATCAGATAGATACATCCAAGATTGTTCTCGTTGGAGAGCTTTACCAGAAGAAAATAACAACTCTGGTCCTTAATGATTAGAAGGCTTAGATATGCAATTAATTTTTCACTTTCAGGTGAATTATGGCATGTCTTGAAAGAGATTCACTAGGAATATTAGCAATTGAGAGCTTTCTAATATTATTAAAACCAAGACAATTTCTTAGTAAAAGCATCAGTGGGTCCTTTACTAAGTGTGAAAAATTACAGTTTCTTGCTGCGTTTTACAATTTTGCTTTTTCTGCCTTTCTCTTAAGTGCAGTTTTTCATGCTAGTCCTTTTAGAATCTGTGGACCCAATCCCCGTTAATTTGTACCATTTGATTTGATTTCCTCAGTTTGGTTTCTGTTCCATCACATCTATCTTTCCTGCAGATTTTATGTGCTGAATGGGAATGCTGCTTTTCTGGCAGTGCTGCTTTTTTGCTGCTTTAAAGAAGACAATCAACTACCTCACTGACAGACAGGACCATCAGACCCTCTTCTAAAGAATGACAGACTTGCCGTATATCGTTTCAGGCAGGGTTATGCAAGACCAATTGCTCCTAGGAACTGTGAGTCAATCTCTATTGTCCAGAACAGATTACGTTCACAGAACTTTTAATGGAAAAATGTTTTTACCATTGGTCCAAAACTTTACAAAGTAACAGCATTTTCATTTTGTAAACATAGGCATATCTGTAAGCATTATTGCCGCATCTACCTGTATACTTTTCACACTTGTAAACGCACTTAGGATGCACATCCTTCCCCCATATGCTGAGTATACACAGAGAAGCATACCTTGGAAGTTTCCTGCAGTTGCTCTTACCCTGTATATCCTACATTCTCCTTGTGTATATTACACTACCACAGATTTAAGTAGAGATCCTTGATCCTCCCTACCACAGAGACTTGACTGCAGCTTGACCCGTGAGCTGAGCACAAAGCACAGATGTTTCTTCTAGTTTCCCTTCTTCCTTGGCACTCGCTATGCAAAAGATAACCCCTACCATTCTCTGCTGAAAACAGCAGAACAGATTAAGAAAACACATATATGTATTCACAAGCCAGACACATGCAGCCGAGGTGTTTCTGGGTCACTGAACTAAGGTTGGCTTACCTGCTGATACGCCATGTTGAGGAAGAGGTATCGCTCCGACCTCCTCATGGGCAGGCAGAGGCTGTATGCCACGTGCACTGCTGCAAAGAAAAAACTGAGCAGCCCGAGCTGCTTCCGACACTGGAGCCAGTTGCTCAGCCACGGTGGAAATCGCCTGTACTTGGTACCATAGTAAAGCTGATAGGCAGCTGCCATAAGTCCTGACAAATACACTAGAGAAAGCAAAGTGATAGCCACGGTTGGCAGAGTCTTGTTCACAATCTCGATGGGGATCTTGTAAAAGTCACTCTGCTGATTTTTCACGTACGGATGGATTACATCTCTGACGAAGGAATAGATGAAGAAAAATGTTGCCAGGCTAATGGCAATCACTACAGGCCCCTTCCACAGTGTGAACAGCCGCAGAGGTAAGTTTTCAATCTCCCTTGAAGATGACAATGCCCCCAAATCAATAGGAATAAAACTGAGCTGACGGGCAAGTTCAATAACTTGATGGCGAGCCTGAACATTGTTACTGCATATATAGACCTGTTGGGAAAGCCAAGTGAATTGTCTGTTGTGAGAAAGTGACTCAAAGGTAAAAAAACCTAAATGCTACAAAAAAAACTACAAGGGCCTTCACGTCAAAACCACAGCACTACTGCTAAACTCTGTTTTAGCTCTTACCTCAGCTTATGTCACCAAGATGAGAATTAAATGACATACAAGTCCAGCCAAAGTGAAAATATGCACACTGATTTAGCAACAGAGTAACCAACACAAAATTGGCTTTTTCTTGGAGTTAATACTGAGTTGACTATGAGATGCCTAGGTAACCTGCACACTGAATCCTCCCTCCCTCAATGAAATGAGGGCTGGACTGAACTTTAAACAATGGCTAAATGCCTTTTCAAAAATCATCAGTCTCTCAAAAATACAGGAATCTTGAATGATGACCCTAAAATAGCCATCGAATAAACAATGCAAAGCAGATAACTGTGCAGTCTCTCCGTGCATGACAAACTGAGCTTAATTTCAGTCCAGATTTCCACAAAAGTCAAATGTTTAACACTAGAGACAAAGTCTAGCAGCTAGATAAGAACTCTCCTAAAGACCAGTTTATTACATAGCAAAAGAAATGCACTTCTACAAAGTACTTTAAAGTTCCTTTAAAATTTACAACGGGCTATAGTTTGCCCAACACTGTTCACTGATCATCTACATCAGAGCAAAAATTATCTATTTTAAACAGAAATAAAATATACAGTGCAGTGCTATTTTGAAAGGGGATAAAAAAGAGTGTGATGAGGCTATTTTCTTAAATTATGCTAATTCTGTATCAACTGCATTCTACTTAAAACCTACCTGAAGTGCCAAACCCCTCAAGTTAGTCTCCAGTGTTACCTGTTACACCAGCTACTTCCCGTGTATTCCCCTAAAGCTGTGAAGGACTGCATTTGTGCACAGGCTTAAATCCCTTCTATCACTTCAGCAAACATGAAAACCATAAAGCTGCCTTTTCTTTTGCAGGATGAAGTTGAGGAACACAATGGGAAGGAATCTGAAATATGCTGTTCCCAAGCAGTCCTGGATCAAATGAATGATCATTTAGAAACATATGTATCTCCTGTTTCTTCATATTTATGATTTTGGGGTATTCTAAAGGCTAGATAACTCCTTTCATCCACTTTGCTGTTACACTGAATGCAAGCATTGTTAGAACAGCAGCTCCTGAGCCCTGGGATCAGGACCTCATATTTCTGTGCATAGCTTTCCCTGGTTCACCCCGTGTAAACCAATACTGGAACTAAAACTTACTGGGAAAGATTGCCTCTGTCCTTGTATTGAGCATAAGGATAAAAATTAACATTATTGCCTATGGAAGACATTAAGTCTTCTCCTCTGTCTGTGGTCATCTAAAGGTCAGCTGTTTAGTCTAAGCAAGTATCCACATTTCCTCTGCAATCCTTAAAGATAAATGGGCATCCCACAGGATAATTTGGACCATTTACTCTGTATGTCTTATAGTGGGATGAAATACACTATGAAAGTTTTATTGGCTTCAAAAAATGAAACTAGAGCCAAACATTTTAGGTATTTTAAGTCAGGCAGGGTGAATCCCAACAGTTCTGCCTGCTTCCATTCAGTTCCTGTCATTTTCATCTTACAAACAAATTAATACAAAGATAACAATTACCTGTCTGCTGGCATCCTTTGGTCCTAACTGCAGTGACCAAGCTGAAATGACATTGAATCCTTTGACGATCAGGGAATCCGGGAAAAGTGACGCCAAGTACTCTGCATTGGAGTCTGGATACTGGTCTACTCTTGTATTATTGCTGACATCGATCAGGATTTTACCAGTGAGCAAATGTTTGAGGTCCCACAAAGAGGTGTAATGTTCTCTGTGTATGGCTACAAAAATGATGTTTGTTTTTGCCACTGCATCTTCATGGTGAGTGACATCAACCACATGGGGAAAGAACTCAGCAGCAAGCTTAGGGTTTCTGCTTCCTACAACCACATGGTACCCACATCGGATAAGTCTAATTGTCAATGACTTAGCAAAGTCTCCACTTCCAATGACACCTATTGTGATCTTACTGGCATCCTTGATGCCATTAGCAACATTTGGTAGAAAAGTTTCATTGAGATTCTTAGGACTTCCCATCATAGAGATTGATTCCATACTTCCAAGACCGCAAAAGTACAATGATTTCTTCTGGGGAGGGAAAAAAAAAAAAAAGAGAAGAGAAAACAACAGAAGGAAAAATGCAGCATCACACAATTTTATGAGACATCTGAATCCACAAACGCCTCTGGGAGCAAAATTTGTGTTCTAAGTTTCATGTTCTATTTTCTCCTTAAGAAAATACGTGCTAATCAGTTTTGTCTTGCCATATGTCACTAATACAAGGAGAAACACAAAATACTTCTAGCACTTCAATAACACAGTTACAGAAATAATTTATGTTTTTTCCACCTTCTCCTATTTCCTATTGCCCACTGCCCTAGAATATGGGACCACAAGATAATCTTGTGCTCCTGAAACTAACAGTCAATGGGAAGACTGGGTAATTGTGGCAGATATTAGAAGGTAGAGATAGCTGGCCTGTGGCATAAGGACAGTGAGGTCATGGAAGCTGAATGCCATTAAAAGGTTGTGCAGATTATTATCGTACTATTCTGTACCTGGCAGGAAGGAAGGGATGGAGGGATGCAAAAGTCTCAAAGCTGCAAATGCAGACATCCATCTGACATACTCACCTGTCAGCCTGGGAAATGGGATGCCCACATGGATCCAATGGCAAAGACAACAACAACAGAAATCTGTCAAGGCCTGTTTATGAAATTCCTAATGATTAGGTCAGACTGCTGCATCTGGCCGTGGATGCATAAGGATTAACTGTGGGTGCAAGGGTAAAAGATTCAAGGCCACGGGTCACAAATATGCTTAACAGAATTTGCTGACCAGGCAGAAAAGATAATTCCTGGAGACAAACACATGGGACACCATTCCACAAAAAGCTAATGGCAGAAAGAGATAGATTTTATGCAGTAATAAAATGGAAGATAATTTTAGGACTCAAATTCAGGGCAGTTAGGGAGGCTTTGTAAAAAATCAGGCACTAGGGCTGGAAGAAAGTTAAAAGTAATTCTGCTGTAGCTTTGGAGAGAAGAGGTCACAGAATTGCAGTAAAGCTGTAACAAAAAGACATTCAAAAAATAACAAAACAACCCTCAGGAGGGAAGTCTTCACATGAAACCACAGTTCTGACCCAAGTGCTTCTGCACTGTAGAACATGAATAAGTTCTGAAAATGGAGGAGGCCATGAGGAAAGGCAGGCTAGGAAGGAGCAAAGACTAACCACAAGTCTGCTGTCTTGGGACCAATCAACAACAGACCACAAAGAAAGCAGGTTCTGAATGAACCTCTTTGTGAGCTACCATCCAGCACCTGATGGGATGATAACAAATCATCAGTGGGCGACTTTATGCAGCCACTGGCTAGGAATACAGTATGTGTGGTGAACAACCTCCCACAACTAAAAGTAGCTTTGTGTTTCAAAAATTGGAGAAAAGCTACTAGAAGAATGGGCACTTTTCATCTCAGCTTTGACTAGAAGGGAAGGACTCACTGGACTAAGACTTTAAAGATGGAAAGCAGTATGTGAATGTGACCACAAAATCAGTATTCTAAGAAAAGATTCTAACAATCTTTCTAGCAGAAGCAGATCACAAAGGTTTTATGCACGCACTGAAAAAACATGACCAGAAATATATCTAACACATGATCAAAATACCAAGTATTTCCTCTACCATGATGGGTTCACATCCAGAAACATGAGATTAGCTGTATTTTGATCAGATAAGAGCTATACATCAACTGGATAGGACAGAACATGTATGCTTTCACCATGTGATTAGAGAGACCCGTTGCACTTCGTACCATGTGACGTAAAGGTGCTGCAAAACTCTGACAAGAAGGGAAGCACCATGAGGAAATGGGCTACTAGCACCATCTGGCCAGGCTGCAGCCAGTTTTTGTCCAAGGATCCTTAGGGGAGCAGACATCAAGGATTTGGATATGATGAACTGCTCTATCAAACTGAACTGAATTTGATCTACGGGCCAAAGTTTCTCCTTGCCTGTTCTAAGGAAAGAAGAGTGTGAGGAACAGAATAAAACTAACAGACTTAATTAAAAAAAACTCAGGGAATAGGCAGACATGACTCTTGGGCAAATAATTTGAGAGATGGAAGAGAACAGAAAGCTGGCAGTCGCTGAAAGGGACTATATTAAATGCACAGAATTCAGAGAAAAGAGAGTGTGTAAGACTGTTTTCTTTGCATCAAGAGGGCTTTAATGGCCCGAAAAATCACAAAAAGTAAAAAAACAAAAAAAAGGGTGGGGGATGTGCATGCATTAAGGCACAGTATAAAGGGACAGTGCTACCATACAAGGATAAAATCAGAACACCAACGGTACAGAAATGAGTTATAACTAGTGAGGGACATATAGGATAACACGTAATAGTTCCATAAATACTGTAAAATACAGAAGGCAAGGTTTATAACTTCAGAGGAAAAGGAAAAAATTACAGGTGACATGAAGTAGGACAAAATGTTAAATGTCTTATTTCAGCCCTCAGCAGAAAAGTTGTGAATAGATATTTAATGAAATTCCTTTAACAGAGAGACAGAAGGTGAGGTCCAAGTAGAAGGTGGCAAATTATGAGTAGAGGATATAGTTAAAGGTTTTCAAATCAGAAGGCACTTATGAAATCCACCCTTGATGCTTAAAATGCTGATGGAAGTGACATCTTGAGAACCCACAAGGGCCAAGAGAAGCAGACAAGCACGTACCTCTAAGGGGAGGAGAAGGACTGAGGAGAGCAAAGATGTGTGAGCATAACTTCAGCCTCTGGACTGATTTTACACCAAGTTACTGAGCAACGAATTTGTAAATAGCTAGATGGTGGGAGGCAGATAACAAGAAGTAGCTGAGGTGAGTTGTTCAGGAACACACTGCAACAAAATCAGCCTTCTTTTACAAAATAACTGGCTTCACAGAAATAAGGAACAGTACAAGTGACATAAGTTGGTATCTGCTCTTAGATAAGCTAAGAAAACACTACAGAGCTATGTCACCCAGAAGGTGACACAGACGTGAAAAACTGCTCTTGGAGAAAAAGACTGCTGGAGGAGAGGACCGGACAAACAGCTGGGCAGTCACAGACTGTGACCGCCCGCTCGGCCGGGAACTTACGGGGCGAGGGCTGCGGCGCGGGGCTGGCCGGACGCCGGCGCGACGCGGGTGTCTACCCGGGAGGAG